CATCTCGATGTGTTACATGTTTTCATGCGAGGTGTGCGTTGCCTGCCTTGTTTTATAGTATCTGGCGCTGGGAAGACAGGCGGAAAGATTTATGAGCTCAAGTTAATAGTAAAACAGCATATTACAGGCTCTATATTAATGTTCTCCTGCGCTGAAGTAGCTGGCTCTTTCTGGGGGAATTTATGCGAGGATCGCTCGCTCTGTCTGTCGTCGCCGTAATGGGGTGGACATGGTTAGTCACCGTGGGGGGAAGCAAAACAAGGATGCTGTTTCCCTCTCGGCAGGCAAATCAAAAGGAGAGGGACATGATGACTCCAGCAACCGCATCTGTGTATTAGCTGCACCTGCTGTGGATATTGGGAAATGGGGAGAGCAAATGTCAGAGGCACAAAGAACAGGGAAGGAAACGAAGGAGGAAATAACAGAGGAAGATAATGTGGTCTGTCTGCCAGGGGCCACGATTCAGGCTCGTGCAAGGCATCTTGCCACCCTGCAGCTGCTCAGGGAAGCCTAGTGGTGGGACTTTCTCTTGAATCTTGTGCTGGGATTTATCTGCCCCAACGTGCGCTGCCCTTAGCCCATGCAGTGGGGCAGGGTTTGGGCTGAAGGTGGCATGGGGGAAAGCGGCCAGGGCAACTGGAGAGCAGTACTTATTTCATGAGTTCCTGTGGATGGTGAATTTATAGGGTAGTCAGGAGGTGAGGGGAACCTCCCACCCAGTGCTGATTTGGGAGGTGGCGAGGAGGGAAAGTGCGTTCTGACTTTTCCGCGGGGAAGCAAGCTGCATGAAAGAGTACGCAGGTTCCCCTGGTCTGGAGGACCACAGGGGAGAGGTCTTACGGAGGACTGATTCCTAAAGACACCAGAAAATAGAACAGTATATTCCCTTTGTGCAGCAGAAAGCACCACTAGGGAGGGAGGTTGCGATCGTAATACTCTTCTCCAGAGTCTGAGATAGCGGGTTAATGATAAGATGAGAGCTCAGTTCATTGCTCTTGGTGCAGGGCAAGAAGGCATTGATTTGTGGTAAGCCTGGAGCTCATCTGCGTGCAAGGAGAGTCAGACCCCATCGACTAGCCGTGCAATATGATGCTGTACAAGTCCATGCTGGGATATAATTTTGCTATTAGAGCAGCAAATGTCGAATCTTAGGAAGCCGAGTCAAAGCGACCCTCCCAGTGTTAATATAACAAAATCATTAAAGATGAAATGTTAAGTGGCTCCTTTGGTCAGAAACTGTCTTGCTGAAGATAAATAAGCTAGATCCTGTCCCTGTGTCTGGTTAGCTCCATGTCTCTGGACACCAAAGTCAGTCTGGGGGTGGTTTGGAGGGTGCGTGTGGCTGCTGGTAGTGAAGGCGTGAGGACGTTGGTGGAATTGAGGCCATCCGAGGAGGCCCCAGGCTGCTGCTCTTGCTGTGGGTGCTTTCATTCACTTTGCTGCTTTTGACTGATTCATGACCCTGTACCCTCTTTAAAAGGTCTTCCTGTGCTTATTTCGGAGCTTTGCATTTATGTGCCACATCCAGGTCTGTTCTGGTCCTGCTTTGAGAGCTAATGAATGAACGTGGACATAACAGCTGAGACGACAGTGCGTGGCCAAGTGCTGGGCACCTGGGATGTGGCAGCTCCCAGGGTGACTTGCCAAGAGGTGCCCGTCTCCGTCGCAGGCTGTTAGGAGGCTTGACAAGAGATGGGGAGCTTAATGTGCCACTAAAAACCTTGACACTGGGTTTTTACATCCCTGATCCAGGAAACAAGATTTCAAGGCCCTTTTATATTATCCTTATGAGGTAATACATTCTATTCTCCACAGCCTGAATCTGTTGCATGCTCCACTAGCAGTGTTTCTGATGCTCTGGTACAAGGGAGCACCTATTTCCATGACCACGCTGAAGCCCAAAGGTACCTTTCGCACCTAAGTGCTCTCACAGCAGAAAGCTGTTTGTGAACAGCCAAGGGGTGAAGGGGGAAATTATTCTAACTCCTAGCTAGCTTGCTTTTCCTCAAGGCCTACATCTGATTTTGCAACCTGCCTTTTCAATTCCCCCTTCTCATAGCTGAGCCTCACTCAGTTGAGCGAATTGGCCGAGTTCCCACCTCAGCAGGCTCAGCTCTCTCCTGGTCACCCTCGTCTTAAAGCCTCTGCCAGCTCCCTGTCCCCTCACTGCTTTACAGCCGACGGCCACCTCCCAGGCTTGGGTCTGGGAGCACAGGGTCCCAGACTGAGCTAAATCAGGTCTAGCAGAGCTCCTCTGCTTGGGATCCGTGGTTCAGTGCTGCTGCCTTACTGCTTGGGTATGGATTGGAGTCCCCAAACCAAGGCTCCTCGTCGGTGCTAAATAAAAGCAATGTGAGATTTGGGGGTATGCAGGGCTTCCACTGAACTTACTGAGTTTGTCAGCACTCAGTACCTTTGAAAATCAGGCTGCACCTAAGTTTTACTAGATTCAAGGGTTTAGAAACCTGATTTGAAGTTAAAACCTCTGATGGGAGGGGCACGCTAAGAATGGCTTGGTACAAAACAAAAAATTTCAAGAAACTGTACCTAGGATATCCTCACTGGGACAAGAGAGTAAAGACAGAAATGTAGGGAACAAAATGGGTTGGCAGTTTTGAGAAATGTATTACTGCAAACTGGCTACTTACGTGTTTTAGCAGGAGTGTGAGTGGGGAGAAAGCAGGGCGCTGGCGGGCCGGTGCAGACAGCGTAGAGTGTATACCAGGCTGTGAAAACACATATCCAGGTGAGGGTTTTGCAAGAAGCTGTGAAGTTACAAATGGGAGGAGATAGTTGCTTTTGCTGGTATTCAGCCCAGAGGTGACAGAAAGATTTGCACTCTTGCTCCAGATGGCAGATTTATAACGTGCAGAAAATTGACTTGCAGTGCCAGTCCCCTGGCAGCTGGGGAAGTCTCGGAGCCCCACATGTGAAGTTTACTCTGGGAGTGCTTGGTGGCTTTGATGGCAGGTAGAACGGCTTGGACCTAGCTTGGGAGCTTCATTGTCTAATGGTGACATGTCAGAGAAATACAAAGGCAGGCTCTTAAAAAGGGTGTGCCTCCAAGCACACACTGTTGATAAAGAGAAAGGGGATACAGGCATCCTCCTCCGGCTGTCAGCATTACTTTCTGGAGCGGAGCACCGAGCAATATAACATTTTTGCTCTTTTGTCAGTTAGCAGAAGAGTTGTGCTGCTATGCATAATACAGGAGCTTTAAAAGCAAACATGCATGCGGCGGAGGTGTTGGAAAATAGCCATTGGTTTCTGAGAGTAGTGTTTACAATCACAGAAATACATTCATGTTGCTGCTGCTCAACCTCTGATCATACGCAGTAGAAAGATGCTCCTTAAATGAACAGCCAAGTCTGTATGGAGACCTGTTTCATATTCTTATGGGCAGCCTGGTGGTTTTCTTTTTTCCCTCTGGAAGATGCTACTGTGGCGTTTGCTACGAAAGCTGATGTATGCTGGCTTCTGACACTGATAGCGATCGCCAGTGTGTAATGTCAGGGCAAGATGAAAGGCTACAAGAGAAGGAACAGGAGCCCCGTATTCCTGGAGTGGTGCTCAGGACCGCTGAGGTTTTTGGCTGGGAGGTGACTTTTTAAAAGAGTAATAAGAAACCTTGCAAGCCTGAGTTGTGTGCTTTGCCATTTGGGTGGATATTCTGCACTTGATGCAGATGGAGAGACTGGTTCCAGGGGTCCTCTAAGGGTGGGAGTGAATGGGGGAAGATACAATGCCTTTTTGGGGAAGGGAAAATATTTTTGTCATTCCTATCAGCAAGAATAACAAAGACAAAGTGACCAAACGTAGGAATTGGCAGACCGCATCATCCCGTGCTCTGTCTCTCCTAGTAGCCAACTGCAGAGACACCGACAAGGATATTCACAGTAGGCAGATGAAAAATAATCTGCCCCCCATCAACACCCTTTCCTAATCCGTAATAGCTAGAGGTTGGTTTCAACTCTGAAAGCACAGGGGTTTATACCCTTCCCAAGATGTTTGCTAGCATTAGCTGTGCTTGTTCGAGCTATTCCTGTTATCCGCATAAATGTGCAGCCTTCGCTCTCCACCTCTGCCCTATCATTTCGGGCTGGTGAATGGAGCTGCACTCCCCGGGTTTCTCTGGGAGCACATCACTGAAGAGGATGTTCTCTGTCCTTGATATTTCTCAGTCTTCAAATACACCCTGATTGGCAGCCAGCCCTCTAGCATCTGCTGGATTGGTTTCAAGATTCAGTGGGATATTTTTTTTTTTGTTTAACTCTTTCTGCTCTTTTCTAAATTTTGCACTTTACAGCTGAAATGGGGATCTCACAGATTTTTCGCATGGAACCAGGCAGCTTTTCCATTCCTGAACCATAAACTTAGGAAAAGGTATTTCTGGAAAAAGTGTCATGATATCCAGAGGAGATAATCCAGAGTAGAGGAGAAAATAATGTTTTAAAATAAGCAAGATGGTAATTACGTGCTCAGATAACTTCTAAAAACACGTCAGAAGTTTATTCTCAGGAAATCTTCCTCAGAGCCATTTGCAGTCAGATACGAAAACAGCTGGGGTTGTCATGGTGTAGTAGATCATCTCTGGTTAGGCTAGGGCTAGAATTATTGCCAAACAATTTGACATGTCTGTACTTTCAACCTCTCACAAGTTGGTAAGAAATTCTGTGAAAGCCCTGTAGCAAGCAGGCTGTGATTGTATATCTGCCATTAGTTCAGCCCCTTCAGAGCTTCTGCTGTTTATTCCTTGCTCGCTTTAGTAGACACTGACATAAATGAGCCTCCTTGGATGAAATCCTGATTCCGTCTAAGTATTGATTTCATCAATGCTAGGATTACAGCCTGGAGTTCAGAAACATGAGGATGGGTTATACAAGCAAGCCCTTGACTGCATGGCCAGGGAGTCAGGTCCCACCTGTGGCTGAATTGCAAGGTCCTGAATATTATCTGGGGGTGACTTACAATCTTTTTTGTTTGCTGTTGTGTGTTGCTGTAGAAGGGGAACACAGTTTCCAGGCTAAACAACAAAATACGCTTAAGCCATGGAGTCCAACCAGGAATCCTCGCTCTTCCTGGTGAAGATTTTGGAGGAGCTGGACACGAAGCAGAATACTGTTTCTTACCAGGACCTCTGCAAGTCCCTGTGTGCGAGGTTTGATTTATCCCAGTTGGCCAAGCTCAGAAGCGTGCTGTTTTACACCGCTTGCCTGGATCCTAATTTCCCAGCGACTTTGTTCAAAGACAAAATGAGATGCACTGTAAACAATCAGCAATCAAAGAAAATCATGGTTGCAGCAGATATAGTAACAATATTCAACCTCATACAAATGAATGGGGGAGTGGCCAAGGAGAAACTTCCAGTTGCAAAGCAGAAAGTGAAGAAGAAAGAGTCCTTCGAGTCCTGTAGATCTGACACGGAAATCTGCAATATGGCAGACTGCGTGCCCAACTGTGAGCTGAACGACCAGGAGTTTAACCGGGGCTTTCCAGTCAGAAGGTCTTCAAAATGCAGAAAGATGGACTGCAAGGACTGTCAACAGTTTGTTCCCTCGTCAGAACCCAACTTTTTACTCGGCGTTAATAAGGAGATGAAGGGCCGGGCTGCCTCTCTGGACAGGCTGCAGGCGCTGGCGTCCTACTCCATTGCCACGTCTCCACCATGCGAGATGCAGAGTACGTACTTCCCCATGAACATTGAAAATGAATCTATTTCAGACCAGGACTCCTTGCCTATAAGTGCAGGCATAAAAGAAACCTTCATTTCAAACGACGAGCCATTTGTGATGCAGTCGTGTGTCCAGAAAAGGAATATATTCAAAGAAGATTTTCATAATCTGATTACAATATCTCCCAACTTAATACCGTCCAACAAAAAGCCAGAAGATGGACACAGGGAGCCTCAGAACAGGAAAGAAAGCTCTAAGCAGGCTTTCTTCAACCACAGCTTTGAAATGCCATACAGCAGCCAGTACTTGAATCCAGTTTATTCTCCTATACCAGACAAAAGGCGAGTGAAGCATGAAAGTTTAGATGATCTTCAAGCTTCAACGTATTTTGGCCCAACTACTATTCTCGGGCCTCAGGACACCAAAAAGTGGACTGGAAAGCCAACCAAGCAAACTGCCTGGCCAGCTAAAAGCTGGAGTTTAAATACCGAGGAGGTACCTGACTTTGAACGATCATTTTTTAATAGGAAGCAGTCTGAAGAGAAGCTGCGATACCAGAGTTCGAACAACCCATCTCCAAACTTTCCTTCAGCTGACAGGCATCAGTCCTACCTAAACGCGAAGGATCAGCAACCAATTATGCAGGCAAACTACGCTGTGAAACCAAATGGGCATAAACCCAAGGAAATTCCTTCCATTCTAGATGTGGAGAAACACGAGCCAGTCAAAAAGTTTAAGGATAAAAGCATTAATTGTACTTCTGTTCAGATCTTAAGCATTGACAGGACCACGAGTGTTGGGACACAAACAGAGCAGCAAGTTCTGGACCACAAGAAATGCAAGGATTTGTGTGCGGCGGGCCAAGCCAAGTATGGAGAGCGGCACTCTCTTAAGCAGTCGGATGATGACTCTGAAATCGTGAGCGATGACATCAGTGACATTTTCCGCTTTTTGGACGACATGAGTATCAGCGGGTCGACAGGAGTGATGCAGTCTTCGTGCTACAACAGCACCGGTTCCTTGTCTCAGGTGCATAAATCAGACTGTGAGAGCTCACCTGAGCACAACTTGACTAAAATCTCCAACGGGAGTGCCTGTAACAAACTGGATAAAGTGGTCCGGGCAGACATCAGCAACGCAGATGATGAACTGAAAACGAGTGTCTGCAAATTAGTTTTGAGGATTGGCGAAATAGAGAAGAAACTGGAATCTCTCTCAGGTGTCCGAGAAGAAATCTCCCAAGTCCTGGGAAAATTGAGCAAGTTAGATCAAAAAATTCAGCAGCCAGAGAAGGTCAGCGTACAAATAGATCTCAATTCCTTGACAAGTGAGGCCGCATCAGATGAGAGTAACTCCCCACAGATATTTCAGTGCCACAATACTCCTCATGGAGGCAAACTAGAGAATAATCCAGAATGGTGCTGTTCAGACGCCAGTGGAAGTAACAGTGAGAGTCTTCGAGTAAAAGCCTTAAAAAAGAGTTTGTTTACTAGGAGGTCATCAAGATCATTAACAGAGGAAAATAGTGCAACTGAATCCAAAATAGCAAGTATTTCAAACTCTCCCCGAGACTGGAGAGCTATTACTTACACCAACCAAGTTGGCATTACGGAAGAGGAGATGAAAGAGAGAGATGGAGGAGAAAATAAGGACTGGCACAGGAAATCTAAAGAGGTAATTTCAACTTTAACTCACATAATAAACACTTAAAAATAATCTAGTTATGAATGTCTTCCATAGTCATCACAAGCCTCAGGGTATGACAATACTTTGCCCTGCCATATTATGCCTGTCTTTATTGTTATCATAATTGAGTAATTTTGTACCTATATGTTCTTGCTTGGCAGCTGCAATATGGTCAAGTTGTTCCTTAGAAGCACTTTGCTTTTTTGAAAAGGGAGGGGGGGGTAATGTGGGCGAGATCTTCGGAAGATGATGGTATTCTTCATCATCAGTGGCGATAGAAGGAAGCCGGGTAATTAACTTGGTGAAAAGGGCATGAGGAAGATTGAAATTCTCTAGTGGTTGTTTTAGAAGGGGTATTTTGAAATTGCATTGTGACAGCTTTTATCAGAGAAGTATGTGCATATTTAAAAGGCAACCAAATAGATTCATGGATTCAAATCCCTCAAGAAAAGAATCCTTGTACGTGTACCGTGAAACGCAAACTGTAGTTATGTTCTCTATATCTGGCTTTCACGGTCATTTACATGAGTCTTAAACCTCCCGTTGAGGAAATGCAGCATAGCTGTGGTCTTGTTTTGGTCACTCAGAAAAACTCTGCCCATCTCTCCCGACAGCTGCCCACCGCCACCTTCACAGATTGCACAGCTATCGTGGCCGTCCTTGTGCTGGGCTCTGGTTGCTGCTCAGTTGAAACTGTGCATGGCATGGGCGTTTGTTTCTGCTTCATGGATGGTGGAGAGGGTTGGGGGTCCTTAGCATGGGTCATTAGCAGGTTGCGGAAGGGGAAGAAGGTTAACCTTAGTAAGCCGAGACCTTGGCTTTTCTGTACATTGATCTGCCCAGGATGAAATGCTGGCTTTGAAGGTCCCTTCCTCACTCCTGCAGTAGACTGTGGCTGACACTGGAGTGGTACTATGGATGGTGCGGTGTTAAGGGGGTGCTACCTGGGGGCTTCCCATGAGACTTCTTCATGTTAAGATTTGATCCGGAAACAGAAATCTGGAAGCCTACATGGGGTTCTTCGCTTTTCCAGATCAGCTAGGTTTTTTTGGATGTCAGGGCCATTTTCAGAATAGCTTTGTAACCTGTAAACAGTACAAAACCTAAATTTCCTCTGTTGAATCAGCTTTGTGTTCATGTTATGGTGAACAAGGAGCTGTGTCTGTAAAATCCCTCTTTGGTCTGGCTGTGAGAAGAGGGTTGGCAAATGGATTAAGGCCATCCAAAACCTTTGTCCTAGCTGGTACTTTTCTTACCGTGGCTTAAGCAATATCATATGGTGAGTCTGAAAGGAATATCTCTGTCCTCTGTGTTTAACCCCCTCATAGTCTTGTTTCTTCTCTCAAATTCTTTTGAACCCTATTGCAGGCAGACAGGCAATACGAAATCCCACAGCCACATAGACTCTCTAAACAACCAAAAGATGCTTTCTTGATTGAACAAGTCTTTAGTCCTCATCCCTACCCTGCATCACTCAAGTCACACATGAAAAGCAACCCGCTCTACACAGACATGAGGTTGACAGAGCTGGCTGAAGTGAAACGCGCCCAGCCGTCATGGACCATAGAGGAATACACGAGGAATTCGGGGGATAAAGGCAAGATTGCAGCATTGGATCTACAAGTGAGTCCCATTTGTTTAATTTGAATGGCTTGATTGCGAATGGATGTTGCCAGAATATGCATTTAAGAAGGGATTTGGGTAGCTCAGGAAGGGGAGCTAGGCAGTGTTGAGCCTCTAATCTTGCTGATCCCTATCCATCCTGGCCAGGGACAAAGAAAAATGTGGATGATGTTTGATTGCCGAATGGTGATCCTTGACAGGTTGGTGCTTCCAGCTTATTCTGCAATGGAGAGGTGTCTGCTAAGCCATCGTGGTGTTAGTCGCTCTAAAGAAGAGTTTAGGGGTAAAGGGGTGCAGAGATGAACCGGTCCCTAACTGCAACAAGGCAGAGTGGTGCAGAAGCTGGCATTGCTGCTTTTTCTTCTATTCTCATTCTGTCCGAATTGTTCCCAGAGAATTTAAGTGTTAGGGCTTTTTCCATTTTGCTAGGAACATGAGACATAAAATACTTGTAGAAGACACTCAATACCGTGACTGTTTTTGAAACACATCACCGTTGCAGCTTTGAAATGGCTGTTGGAAACCAGCGTCATGTGAAGAGCAGATCAGCTAATGGTCTGTCTTGTTTGCATTTTAGTTCAGCTTGGAAGTGTGCAGGCTCTTCTGCAACAGGCGGAGCAGAGCAAGTTACTGGGAGACAAATCCAAATTTTGGATTTAAATTTTCTCAAAATGTAGTGTATTTGAAATCACAGTCCTGATATATAATGGCCTGCCCAGACCCAGGACTGAGTGCCCGCGTTGGATACCCTGTCTAGCCTGCTAAATACAAGACACCTTCTAGGAAGGAAGATATCTGAGCACAGGTTTAAAGAGGAAGGATGAAGAATGCCATCCAAAATGTGTAAAGACCAAACAAATGTTGCTGTATTTGGTTATGAAACACAAAATGCATCACATAATGAAATCCATACTAATGCACAGATCACTGTGTATCGTTTATATGCATTTATACAGCAGCGTGCAGAGCCAGCGGGGGGAACGGTGCTGACCTCAGGCATTTCGGGCTCCTTGGACGTGCGTGCATGCCCCGGAGCAGAGCAAGCTGCCTCAGCTAGCTACAGGCTTGGCAGCAGTTGGGGTACACTGACCTACAGCTCAGGGCTTATCAGCGTCACGCTAACACGGCTCTGTGATCAGCGGTCTGTGCAGTGCAGCCATACTCAAGCAGGGAGCCTGCTTGTCTCCAAAGCTTGTCTGCCAGGGAAGGTGGCATGCAAGAGCCTGAGACTTGCTGCTCCACATCAGCTCTCGATGGCTCAGTGCTGAGGTACCTAACCCAGCTCCAAACCCATCAGACTAAGACCTAGCAGAGCATCAGGATCCTGCGAGAAAGACTTGCATAGCCCAAGGAGTACTTCCATGCCTCAGGACCCTGCGTTAGCTGGTTTGGAATTAAAACCATCACCTACACAGTGCTGTAGTGCAACTCCCACGAGCGTTTGTGCAGGAATTTGTGCGCAACAAATTCACCTCCTGGCTCGGCTCATTCAAACTTCCCTATCCTCACCAGCCCCTGCTCCTCGCTGTGGCTAAAGTGCACTTGGAGAGATACCAGGTGGCACAGGGGCCAGGCTGCATCTTGCCTCAGCTGCCTGCTGCTTTTTGGGACTTAAAAAGCATTAGAGGGCTTACTAAATTCCTAATCCTGGCATTGCAGACTGTATGCTAGAGTAGGGATAGGCTGAAAGAAGTTCCTCTGCAGCAGGCGGTCGCAAAGCATCCCTTACCTGCTGCACGGAGGCAACAAGGGAGGTGGTATTTGGAAGCAAGGCTCCCCTGGGAGAAGTGTTCTCCATCTGCTCCTCGTAAGGCCGTTTTGTTCCCTGTAAGCAGCTCTGCGCGACTGTGAGCAAACCAGAGAAATCAGCTTATTGCCATCATTTATCTTTAGGATAAAGGTGATAAAACTTTACTGGTTTGGTTCTCTCCCTCCAAAAGGACTGTCAGAATTGCATCTACTCCGCGAAGCCCATGTCTAGACTTCATAATAGAGCTTACTGACAAACTTAAAAAATAGACACAGGCTGATGAGTGGGTTTTTTTCCCAGTGATTAAGTTTATTAGAACTGAAAGTAAATACATTATGCTTTAATGAACATTCCTACATCTGGCAATGAAATGGGAAAGGAAGCTGATTAACAGTAATGGGCCTTTTTAATAATGCATCTTCCTTCTGAAGTAGTTAAAAGGTCAATACCAAGGCAGAGAAGTCCAAAACTGTAATTTCCTTGCAGCATAGCATGGCTGCCTTCGGGGTTTTTCTACCTTTGTTTATTTAAAATTTCTCCTGGCACTTGAAAAGTCTGCTGGGTTTTCCTTTAAAAAAGAAATTGCAAAACGAGTCAGGCCAAAGTTTGTCCCAGGTGTGGGGTCTGTGTGAGATCTCATTGCTTTGCTCTGTGTATGATGATCCACTGGGACGAAACGTTGTCAGGCCATTTTCTGATGCCTTTAGAGATGAGGCTGCTGATTTTTTTTCAGAAGGCTGGAATAGATAATTCAGAGCCCGAATGGTACAACCTCAGACTCGGCTGACAGTCTCTGTTTCAGCCTACTAGCGCTATCATAGAGATCTCGATTAAATGATCATAAAACCGTTGCTCAATTTTAATTGTTTATTTCTGGGGTAGCTATAAAATCACTTCTTGTAGTAGTTCTGTACACAAAGCAATCACTGCTTTCAGGCAAAGCAAGGTTTCAGCCAGTAGCTCGTGGCCACAAAATCTGAATTAGCCAATTAAAGGCTTACCCAAATCCCTCTCAAGTCAGCCGGAGTTTCTTTGTGCGGAGTCCAACGAGCTTTGGATGAGGTCCATTACGAGCACAGACACGGTGTGTGTTAGGGTATTCTCACTGGAACATTTTTATGTGCAATCTTTTTCATTTTTTTAAAGAAATGGCCTTTTGGAGCCCCAGACACAGGAGACAGCTTCTAAGAAAAGCTGTCATTTTTCAAAATGTTCTTTCTGCTTTATTCCTTTCTGCTGGTAAGTGCCATATAGTGCCTAGTGTTTGGGTTTCCCCCATTTTCCCCCCATTTTCCCTAACAGAAAGGTTGAAGAGAAAAAAACAGGCAAGGTGGAAATGCAAAGATTGAAGAGCTCAAATTCTAAGGAAGAAAAAACTAAAAGATAAAAAAAAAAAACCCCAAAAACATTCAGATGGAGACACTGAGAAAAGTTCCCCAGGTTGCCTTTAATTTTCTGACCAACTCAGATTTCCTTCACTTTCTTTTTTCTTTCCTTTTTTTTTGTTTGTTTTTTGTTACCTGCGTGGAATGGGAGGGCAAAGTCTTTAATTTCTTAAGCACACTCTTAAAATCACCTCCAACCCAGAGAGACTCAGACTTTGGCAATACTCAGAGTATTGCCTCCTGTGGAAATACAGATTGTGCCATTGGGGTTAAATGACCTCATCTGTGGAGATGGTCCAGAGTGATGTGTGGTACCAAATCATATGCCGGGTGTCCAGTTCCCCTTCTCCTCCTGCCCCTGCAACTGAGACAGCGTCATGCATCCAGGTGATTTTCAGAAGATGGAGCTGGAAGGAGAGCTCGAAGCTGAGGATCACTCTGTCCTGGATGATTTCATGGAAACCCAATTGGAACCCCCCCTCCGGGGGGTGTTCAGCACCTGCTGCCTGCGGCTGTGTATTCCCATGCCGAAACGAAGGGCTGGTGTCCCCAGGCGTTGCCATTCCGGAGGGGGTCTGCAAATTGCCCATCCAGAGGGAGTGGGTGCCGGATGGGGCTGGGCAATCGCAGCCTGCAAGCAAGTTATGGTAGCAAAATTAGGGTTAGCTTTGTAAAATGTAGTGCGTGAGGAGTATACGTTAAGAACCCTTCCCATCAGCTAGGCTTTAATAATTTAAAAAGCAGTAACAGACCGGTAGTTGCTGACATCTCTGCTGTCTAGCAGATTAAAGAGATTTTATTTAAATGCCATCCAAGATGACGAAGTTTCCGGCAAATCAGAGGTACGTGAGGGATTTTGCAGCAGAATTATACTGTTGGAGGAGTTTATTTTTTGCAGTATTTTGTTGCCACTTTCGTCAGCCTTATGGAACCGGGACCGGGAGTCGAAGGGATGCGAGAAGCGGCAATAACCCACTTTATCCTGACAGCAGACCCAGATGCGGTCGGGAGGCCTTCAGGCACATCTGCTTTATTTATTTGTTTAATTAATGACAGATCCCAGACAATTAACAACTGTTTCCTTTTAATTTTTAGACTCAAGAATCTTTAAACCCAAACAACTTAGAATACTGGATGGAAGATATTTATACTCCTGGCTATGATTCCTTATTAAAACGCAAAGAAGCCGAGTTCAGAAGAGCAAAGGTTTGCAAGATAGCTGCCCTGATAGCAGCGGCAGCTTGTACGGTTATTCTGGTCATTGTAGTTCCCATTTGTACAATGAAGTCCTGAACCTGCGGACAGACCCGTGACTCCCAGCCGCGTGTATCTCAGATAGCTCACGCTGTTTCAAACGTCTGATGGCAAAACTGTAAGGAATTTGCTAAGGAAGAATGTTCTGAGGATATCCTGATGGAGAATGCTGTAAACGTAGGCAAAACACAAGACAACTAGAGAAACATTTTTTTTTTTTGAAAAGTATTATTTTAAATAACAGACTGTGTGGCGGAGTTAATGGGAACTCGGTTCAATTTTTATGCATTTTTAAAAGTGCAATATTTTTTTTTTCCTAAAGAAACAATATAATGTTTTACAGAATCAGAGACTGATGAGAATCCAGGCGAAAGAGGAGGGTTGTTGGAGCTATGTTGCATTTAACGGAGGTATGGGTACATGGAGGGTGCACTGTATAGAAGGGGATGTTCTATATGCATTACATCAGGCAGCTAGGAAAGTCTTAAAGCTCTCTACAGTGTCGAAAACTCTGAATGTATTGTATTTATTTTATAGTATTTATGTATTTCATGATCATTTGATTGAAAGCAGACTGTGTAGCCGTGAACAGAGTTCATTCCTATGTTCAGATTAAAAAGGGCTCTTTGTATTTGGTCTTGCCCTAAGACCCACTCTATCATCACTGAGTACTAAGATAAGTGCAATGTGCTGCAGACCAAAAAGATTATGTTTTAAAGCAATCGCAAGAGGTTTTAGTTGCTTCTGTTGAATAACATTTGCATAGAGCTGGCAAACTTGCCTTGCCAAAAGGGTATTCTTTACCTCCGCAGACAGTGAAATTGTCTCAATTTCACTCCTGCCAGCAAGCTAAGCTGGCAAATCAAAGCAACGCTCTGTTAAAGTTCTTGAAAATGTAATCTGAACAGTTACAATTTTTTTCACAAAGTCTTTGTGCCTTTTTTTAGACTGTAGATTAAATAGAACTGTTTAATTTTGCTATTTTAAGCCCATAACATAAATCACAGCATAATGGGTACTAATGGAGGTTCTTTTCCCGCAAGCCTTCTATACAGTTCAGAGTGCTCCTCAAACAGCAGGGCTGGTGGTTACTGAGCACTTATATTAAGGGCACAGTTTTTCAGCACTAGTGGAAACTTGCTGTTAATGCAATGCATTCGGCACGGGGAGATCTTTTGCTTCCCTCTTGCTAATGTACTTAAGAATGACGGTTGACTCTACCGGACAGCAAGCAGCCTGTATCCCATGGGAAATGTCCATCTGATGCTTTATCCCAAATGCAAATAGCAGGTTCAAAGGAATTCTCAAGCTATGACAGAAATTACCTGCCATGGTTAGTGAAGGCAAATACCCAGACAGTATTACTCTTCTGTCAAGTACGGATGAAAAAAAAAAAAAAAAGTAGGAAAAAAAAAAAGTATTTTCAGGAAATACTGTGATCTTGCTGGTCCTCTAAGGGAAAGGAGATTCTTTTAGTGAATGCTCTTTATGTAGGGTAATTCGGTTTCTTCAGAAGCAGCCTCCCAACACGATGACACAGCAGCTAGCAAAGCATCGGATGCTCGCTCCTCCGTCTCTCTGGGATGTGCCGCACTCGCTGTGTTTCTGGCTGGTTTAAAAAAAGTAGCGAGGAAAGGGTATGTGGGAGGCAAAGGCTTTGTTGTGACTTTAGATGTGTGTCAGTTCTTTCCTGCAGCTGGAGAGCTGTTTATGTGCTGCTTGTGTGCTGTATTTTGTTTAGAGGTAGGTGATCTCTGGGACCGTTGATCTATCAGAAAAACAAGTGTAAACACAGGGTCGGGTGTCCCACCAGCAAACACAGAACAAGGATAAGCCCCTAGACCAAAATCTGCGCCTGCCTGGCCTGAACCCTGACCCGAATTCTGTAGCTTTGGCCCATTCCTAATACCAAAATTATTTCTCTTTCCTCCCAGATGCTGCAGGATGGACTCACAGCAGGGAGGGAGCAATTCACACTGTCTATTTTAGGCTGCCTTCGGTTATGGTATGATTCAGAGCACCTGAGTTTAGGAGCTGCGGATCCGTATGTAGTAAATATAGACAGGTAGAGAAACCTCCGGGGACGATTCGGAGCCGCCAGCAAGATATCTAATATTAGACATGTGAATACGCTCCGGAGGGCATTGCTCTGCGGTTTACCTTACGCACAATTTAGGTTGATTGTATATGTAAAAAAATCTATTCCTGGTTCCAGATAATGTCAGAAAGCCCTTTTACACCCTTCCTTGGCCTGGCGATAGCAAACACGAGGCGCTGTCGGAGAGAGCAGCGTGGCCCTGTGGTGACACAGTGTCAGTCCCCCGTCTGCCCACGCCAGCGGTGACAAGTCCCTCGGAGGGGCAGGATGGGTGTGGGACGGACACCGGGCGGACCCCCCACCTTTGCCAGCTCCCCCTCCGCTAGCACGAGCCGTCTGGCCCTGCTGTTCCCCAACCCGAAATCAGCAGCGCTTCCTCCGTTGCATCTTAATAATCTGATTTTAGAAAATATCTGAATATCTAAGTGGAGATGCGAGAAGGGTGCAGGAGATGTTGTTGATTACAGGGGCGGGCTGGGGCTGTGCTTGCACTGATGCGTTAGAGGAGATGTAAGGACCCCTGTTTTGTCTGTGCAGGGATTTTTTTTTCGTCTGTGCAAGACTCATCCAGCTGGCACCGGATGAGTCTTTGCATTAGAGATGCCCAAAATCCTGGGAAGGATTTGGCAGGATATGGTGCCGTGGGTGACGTGGAGCTGGCCCAACCCAAGCACTCAGCATCCCAAGCATCCATGCCGCTGCTAACTTATCGAGGTGCTTTTGCCCATCCTTACTTTGCCCAAGCAGTCAGTGGCACCTGTCTCCATCGGGGCAGGGGTTTC